ATACATTTTTGCTTCCTAATAACTTGAAACTTCTAAGAATCCTCCTCATGGATCACCATAACCACACTTTGACACTCTACACTGTCACTAACTTTTTCCACAACACGTACTCAGGGTTCCTTAGCTCGTCTTGACAGCACTTGGCGGCGAATGCCCCTGTCGCCTCCAGCTACCTTCTTCCAAGCAGCACAGCGGCTCCTTCGCTATTTCCTGTATACGCCACACCAACAGGCACTGGCCATTCCTTTCCTCCACTTGACAAGACTCATCACTCCACTGGCCGCCCTTCCACGCTGTCACCCGCTGTCAACCAAACCCTGTCATCTTAAAACGAGCCTCCATTGTCAGCTGCAGCGATGGGTCCGTGCGTTTCTCCTCTCTTGTTTACCTCTCCCCTCCGTTCGCATAGCACTCTCCATGCCCGTTCTCGTATGCGGGGCGAAATTTGGAATCCGTGGCTAATCCTTGTGTCACAACATACATATATATATGTGTGTGTGTGTGTGTGTGTGTGTGTGTGTGTGTGTGTGTGTGTGTGTGTGTTAAGTGCATCTTCCCTTTACCAATGTTGATTATGGGAGCAGAGGGCAGCTGAAAAGACAACCTAGAATTCTCGAGGAATATTCCCGTCAGGTGCAGCATTACCGCCGCTATTTATAGGTTCCTTAGAAATATTGTAACAGCCAAAGCGTGAGAAAACTCTGAAGGAGTGGCTGTTAGTAATATTGCAGTTTCCTTTGTTAGACTGAGCGGATAGAAAATGTAATGGAGAGACAACTAAAGTCTATTGTCTTTGCCAGTAAAAATGGTGAATTTGACAACATCTCTCCTCTGAACTCAGACTATAAAAAAAATAAAATGCGAATTTTTGTTCTTATCCGTATACTACTGCTCCTAAATTTTCTAATTATGGAAATACCCAACTATGACATCATGGATTACCAACTACGTCAAAAATACGTCACAAGAACGTCACTGTATGCCGAGAGCCCTAAAAAATTATCCTGGTAACCGAATATGAAAAGCAGGTAAAAGCAAAACAATTAATTAGTAAATTATTGCGTCTTCAGTAATACACATTTTTAAAATATCCTTCGTTGTATCACCATCTTCACTATTATTGGATTCATGATATGACTGGAGTTTAATGGTTTGAAATACGAGTTAAAATAGAGACTAGGCAGCGTTTAGAAGTTATTTACGTGTGACAACTGTTACAAGATACAAGAATGAAAATGGTTATGAAGGTTCTCTCATTTCAATATTGAATGAAAAAAATACTATAAGAGTATAATCTTACTCTATAATTTGATGTTTTGTAATGAATGAATTAAGTAGATATCCCATATTCAGCTCAAACAATATTGTATAGGCTTAATTTTCTTCTGAAATGTGTTAGGAATATTCGATTTTCGTTTAGTTTCCCCCTGAGTGCAGAAGCCCGTTTTCTTTGACAGCTTTTGCGATTCATTTTTTTCTTACAAATAATTAATGTTGGGAAAGCTGGGCCAGTGTTGCCAATCAATTGTGTGCGTTTTTGCAGTCGGTAATGGGTCGACTTCTTACAGTTGTCCGTTTTATATATATATATATATATATATATATATATATATATATATATATATATATATATATATATATATATATATATGTGTATGTGTGTGTGTGTGTGTGTATGTGTATATATATATATATATATATTATATATATATATATATATATATATATATATATATATATATATATATATATATATATCGCTATTGGAAAAAATATACATTCATTAAATATAGGATCTCCCTATGGTTATGAGAAGATTCTCTCTCTCTCTCTCTCTCTCTCTCTCTCTCTCTCTCTCTCTCTCTCTCTCTCTCTCTCTCTCTCTCTCTCTCTAATTTTCTTGCCGCTTTCTACCCACCTCTCGCAACATGGTATAAATCTCTCATTCCTAACAGAAGCAAACTACAAAAAAAAGGAAAGAACATGAACATTAATGACAAAAACACGAACGAAGAACATAGAACAGAGATCATAGATGAAGTGACTTAAATATCGTAGAAGGAAAAAGAAAACAAGAAAAGGAAAAAGACAAAGGAATTGAACAGAGATGAACAAAAGGTGATAAAAAATAATTGAACAAAAGTCGATATAAGATGGACACGATAGAAAATGAACGTTACAGAAACTGAACATAACTGAACAAAGGTTGAACATAAAGTGTGGCGAGGTTCAACATAAACCATTTGAATACAAAACAAGAACAATGAACGTGTTCGCTTTAGTCTTCCTGATCTTCGCTGTTCTTCAAACTTGCGCAGAACGTAAGTAATATTGTTGTATCAACTTATGTAAATTATCATTACCAGCATCGCCATTTTCCGATATTATCATCATCTATATATTTATCAGTGCCGCTGTCCTTCCCATCTTTCTTCTTATTGTTTATCAACATAACCACTCTCTTTATCATCGTTAACCTTCTTACCATACTGCCAACGAT